TCTGGTGCTAAAGTTTCAGATCGTTTAGAGCCATGGGGAATGGGATGAATAAGGTAAACTCTGCTTATCTTTGTTTTTTATTTTCGGGGTTGTGCTCGCGTGCGAGGGTTTAGGGGACCCCCCCCCTCCAGGACAGAAGCCTTCCGAGTGCCCCCCCCCCTTTCGGGTCCTTGCTTTGATCAGTACAAAAGGCTATGTTGAGTAACCCTTTGAAGAACATTCTAGATGCTGCAAGGGCTAAACAAATTACAGTAGCGTTTCGTTTGGAAAGCTGGGGTGTTTGCGGAAATCGGACGCGTGTCCGCCTCTCTGCGTGAATGCCATCTACACGTGCAACCAGATCCAATGCCTATAATGTATTCGGAAGTGGCTGGCGCTGAGTTCAGTGGATTTTGATTGCCGTTTACTCCTGCCGCTTCCTAACGGGGTTGCTCAAACAGTATAACTCCCGTTGGTTTCTAAATGGGGCTTACTCGAAGGTCGGTGGATTTAAAAGTTGGAAACCACGCGTTTTGCACCGCCTCTGTTAGAATACCTTGGTTTAGCAGAGAGTGAGAGAAAAATAGTTGTCCTAAAAATAGAAGACAAAAAACGCCCGCCTCGCTCATTAAAACTGCGCCGAGGCCCCCAACGCGCAGCTTAATCGGCAGCTTCGAGGTCTGCATTTTCAAAGTTTAAAGCTCAGCTCCCTTCCTCGGTGACTATTGGCGTCTTTCTCATTTGCATATAAAGCCGGAAATGCTTGTGATCATCAAAGATCTTGCAGCTGGGTTATTCAGCAGCTGGGCGAGGCTGCCTGGGCGCTTTAAATCGCTCGCATACCTCGGGAGCTTTTGCGAGTATTTTGTCTGCCGTTTGCTCTTTGCCAACGATGCTGTGATACGAAAAGGGAGGCCTATTGCCTCGATCTCCACACTCCTCCTATTCCCCCCCCCCTCCAAAATCCATTATTTCCATTTCCATTATTCTGTCTGCTGCTTGGATTGGTGGGAGATGTTTATACGTTTTCATTTTCAGTTATAGTGGAATAACTTGAAGGTAATTTGTGACGGTACTTTTGCACCTCCAGGTAGTCCCTGATTTACAAGGGTTCATTTAATGACTGTTCGAAGTTACAACCGCAATGAAAAAAGAGACTTACGACCTTTTTTCACCCTTAACAATTGTTGCAGCACCCCTCTGGTCACCTGATCAAAATTCAAAGGTTTGACAACTGACTCATATTTATGATGGTTGTAATGTCCCCTGGGGTCATGTGATGACATTTTGTGACCACCTGACAACCTAAGTCAATGGGGAAGCCAGATTCACTTAGCATCCTGTTCCTAACTTACCAGTTGGAATTATTTACTTAACAATTGTAACGAGAAAGGTTGTAAATTCACTTAAGAGCGAATTTTGGAAAGTTTAAAATGGCAGAGGTACCTGAAGGAAGTTGAAGTTATGTTTGAGTTGTAAATCAAAAATAGCATGCTGAAATTGAATCTGGGGATGAATAAAGTCAAAATTAACAGGTATGATACATTCAGAATTTCTAATTCGGGTTTCCACAAGCTATGAAATTTATTGCCAAGAGATCATTTCTATCATTTTAGTCAAAGTGGTTGTGATGCTGAGGTTAATAAGAATTTTTGTGCTATATATTTGGAGATCCCCTAGTTAAGGGGTGTCAAACTACCGGCCCGCAGGCCAGATGTGTCATCCGGAAGCCGTGCCCACCCCATTGCCGGCAATGGCAAAACCGTCCCGATATGTTGCCATGTCTGCCCTAGTTAGAGAAGATTGCTATAAGTCACTCCCCCCCCCCAAAAAAATTTGGTAGCATATACCAGTTGAAGTTTACAAATTGTTTTAAAGAGGGCCTTGTCATGGATTGTGTTATTGCATTCAGTTCTTTAGATAATCACATAATTAGCCTAAGCCACATCAAGACTTTTTAAGGAAGGTGGTGGGATGCAGATGCTATTTCTATTTGCTGATGACTCATAGAATCAGCTCATAGAATCATAGGGCTGAAAGGGATCTTGGAGGTCCCTTTTAGTCCAGCCCTCCTGCCAAGCTGGAGTCCTTATACCATTCCAGACAAATGGTTGTCCAATCTTGAGATGGAGCACCCACAACTCTGGGAGGCAAGCTGTACTGTACTATTGGCAAATTCTTTGACTGTCAGGAAAGTCCTCCTTATTTCCAGGTTGAATCTCCCTCTGACAAGCTTCCACCCACTGCTTCTTGTCTTCTCCTCAGATTCTATGGAGAATAAATCAGTGTCCTGTGACAGCCTGTCAAGTATTGGAAGACTGCTGTCATGTCTTCTCTGAGCCTTCTCTTCATTAGGTTAAACATACCTAGTGCCCTTAGCCGTTCATTGTATGATTTAGCTTCCAAATCCCTTATCTTTGTTGCTCTTCTCTGCATTCTTTCTAGGGCCTCAGCATCTTTTCTGAATCATGGTGACCAGAACTGGATGCACTATTCCAAGGGTAGTCTCACCAGTGCAGTATAAAGCAGTATTATCAGGTCCCGTAATCTTGATGCTATCCCTTTGTTGAGGCAGCTTAGAATTGCATTAGCTCTTTTGACAGCTGCCGTACGCTGCTGAGTCATATTTACCTCCTATTCTATAACTATGCATTTGGTTTTTCCTGCCTAAGTGCAGGACCTTACATTTCTCACCACTGAATTGCATCTGTTTGGATAGGGCCCAATGCTCGAATGTGTCAAGATTCAGAAGAATCTTGAGTCTCCTCCAATGTGTTGGCTTGTCGTCGTCCCCCCGCCCCAAAAACAAAACAAAAAAAGCATTGCTAGGAGAACCATTAACTTGCAGAGTTGATCTTTTGGGCCAATGCATCAGGTTTTTTTTCTGAGAGGAGATGCAATGCTTAGCTCCCAAGAAAAGAGTCTGGCCACAAACAGCGTTTCTGACTTGTCTGTTTTAAGGCTTTTTAAAGCGTTGGTTGCATTTGTAGGTTTCCACAACTAAAAAATGTGTTGCATGTTTCCTATAACCTTAAATGTTCATATAAATCCGGATTGTTTACTTATAACTTATTATTCATTGTGTATAAGCACCATCACTTTTTCTGTTGTTTTTTTAAATTTCGTTCACTTAAGTTTTTGGTTTTTTTTAATTGTCCTTTTTATTAGTTTATAATATAAAATACAAAAATACAAAAACAATAGGAAAAATAGGGGAGGGAAAAGAGAAGGGAAGAGTGCAGAAAAGAAGGGAAAAAGAAAGAAAAGGCGTTGACTTCTATTCCCTTTGGTGCAGTAGAATAAGATACTAACATCAAACCTCAACTTTTTACTTTTACCTAAATAGTATAAACTAGCCATTTACTTATTAGATAGATTTGTTGATATAGAAATGGCACTATCACTTTTTAAAATTATATATCATGTAATCATAGATTAGCTAATTTGTAAACATAATTATCCTATCTGGATCTTCAAGATCAGAAAACAGCTGTTTTGGATTTTCCGTGCTTCTCTAGTATCAGTTTTATTGATTGATTGCTTTGCTTTCCATTCAGTTGTGTCCAGTTTTTGGAGATTGCCTGCAACATTTCCTGCAGTTTCCTTGGCAAGGTTTTTCATAAGTGGTTTGCCATTGCTTCCTTCCTAAGACTAAGAGAAAAGGCCTGGCCTAAAGCAGGATTAAAACTCACAGCCTCCCATTTTCTAGCCTGATGTCTTAACTCCACTATACCAAGTGACCCTCACAGGATATCATATTTAATAATGGCCTTTGTCTTTAAAAATGGGTTTATCTCTTATATTTGAGCTTTAGATTTTATTCATTTTATGAAATTCCCAATATTTGTACAACAGAATTTATAATAGCTAGTGGTGCAGGCTTATGAAGGTGAAATCCTGCACATACTATTCATTTCATGTTTATCAACATAGATATTGACAAAGTACAGAAATAATGTAACTGATTTGACTGTAAGGTTGGGTAGAAGGTGAATGCCTGCTCTAGAACTAAATGCACAAATTTTAGAAATGAGGTTTGAGATACATATCTGCAAATAAGTAGAATGGAGAGATTTTCAAGAAACCATTCATTGTTCTAAATTTCAACATGTCCATGCAATTGTAACTTTATTAGCCTATAAGGTTTGGAGAGGAAACAGGGAGTAGCTTGAATGTCTATTGTTGTTTAAGCTGTGTTTAAGCTCAGTTGTGATGACTTCATTGCAAGGTGTGAGGGGGGGGCACAATAAGGGAAGTGGGTGTGACCATAACAAACCCCATCCACTTTACACTTTGATACTTCCCTTTGTAATACATGGGCCGTCTTGGCACAAGAACAAAGGATAGGTTGTAGCAGTTGCCCTATTGTATTCAGGGTCAACTTGGAATGAGTAAAGGAAGTTCCTTGCTGAGTGAGGGGGCTTGGCCATATTTTTATTCAATGACAGTAGCTAGAGCAAAACTCTGTTTGGCACTAAAACAGCATGCAAACATCTAATGAAAATCAAGTGCTAAAACTGCAAATTTATATGCCTCTGGATCTGATCTGACCTTCATAAATTGCCTTAGTTGGTCAACTGAGTCTATCCTTTGGTTAAAGCTATATATGGTTTGGACAAGAAAAATCTGCTGGAGGGATTACTTCAATTTTCAAAACTCCCTTTGTTCTTAAGCCGGGGAGGCTTACTTCCTTCCCCTTACTGACCAGGACCAACCCCCAGAGCTTGCAAACAGCTGCTGTTGCCACAGTTGGTGCTTGGATCATCTGGCTATTGTTTGTTCCTGTCTGACCAATTGGTAATGCCACCCAAGGTAGCATGTCCGCTCTTGGAACCTACATAGAGTGGAATGAGAGACATTCACTCCACATTCTTCCCTCTTCTCTCTTCTCTCTCTCTCTCTCTCTCTCTCTCTCTCTCTCTCTCTCTTTTTGTCTCCAGGTTGTTTTTCTTTTTGCCTTATTTTAGATTAGACGCTCTTTAGCATCATAGGCTCGGCTGGATTGCTTCCTGCTTATTCTAGAGGATGGTGTAGCTCAGTGGTTCTTAACTTGGGCGATATTGCCCCCCAGGGG